GGGTGCTCGCGGGGAGTGGCGACGCCACCTGCGCCCCGGGATGGGGTGGCTTGAGGCGGTCGCGGGCCCCTTGGGTTGCTTGGCGGACGAGCCGGGCCCTTGCCTCAAGCTGCTTCTCCAATGGACCGTTCACCTGCATCTCGGGTTCGCGGAGTCGGGAGGACTGCTGGTTTTGCTAATCTCCCTGGTTGTCTCCAAGCTCACGCTTTCTGAAGAGTGGAGAAAAACAGTGCCTAGTTGGTATAACAGACAGCACGTTTGCTCCCAAGTGAAACGCTGTGCTCTCCAGGCCCCTAGACTTGAGAAGTTTGAAAACCTCTTGTGAAGCTTAGCCGACACTTGTGGCGTGTTCACTCATGTGTTCGTTTGTTGGGAGTCCAGATGGTAAAATTGTCCACATAATAAACCGCCAGATCGGCTGTGCAGATAGCACTGGTGCGGGAAATGCCAGGGACTGGAATAAGAAGGTTCATGCCCCGTGGAGTCCCCTGCTCAGCCTCTGCAAGGCTACTTTTTAGGACTCCTTTTTCAGTAGGTGACATTGGCCCTACCGTCGGTGTTGAAGGAAGGACAAGCCTCCCAACTACAGCTAGAGGTTTAGTTAGCATCCCTGGAGCCTTAGAACTTTGTTTTTCCAGCTTACAACAAGAATGTAACGCCGCTGAACTTCGTAAAAAGTAGGCAGGGATCTTGGGTGAGCTTTGACTGTGTGTACCATTTGCTCATCACTGCTGCGTTCATTTTTGTTGCAGGTGTGCAGACGATTGGGCATCATAGAAGTTGACTATTTTGGACTCCAGTTTACGGGCAGCAAAGGTGAAAGTTTATGGCTCAATCTGAGAAACCGGATCTCCCAGCAGATGGATGGGCTAGCCCCTTACCGGCTTAAGCTGAGGGTGAAGTTCTTTGTGGAGCCCCACCTCATCTTACAGGAGCAGACTAGGTAACCAAAACCCACGCCTGTTGCCATCGGGTCGATTCTGACTGGGTGAAGTGCTGCCAGAATAAACCAGTGTCAAATAGACCTTTGATTCCGTTTAGAAAACCCTGTTGCACCTTCCCCGAGGTGTGCACAAGCAGACATGTGAGTTGGTTCCTAACTTGCAGATCTTCCATGACACAGCCCTTTCGTTGAGGTGAAGAAGGAACTGCTTAGCTGGCCTGAGGAACATTTTCCAACTCTTCTTTTGCCTTTGCTGGTCTTTTATAAACTTAATGGAAGAGCAGGGTTGAAATCCTTTTAAAATGTTTGCAATCAGTGCCATGATGCAAAACAAAAAGAAACCCACCCAAAACAAAACAAGCAACTACTTGGACTTCCTGATAGCAGGGGGATCTTCCTGTTAAGCCTGTAAGTGCCCGATAGTAACCTCTGCCTCTGCAGTGTTACTGCAGGTCATTTGTAAACTGTTCTAACGGAGAGCAGGAAACAGTTCCTCTTGGGTTACTAAAACTTGGTCAACGTCTTCAGCTTCGTGTCGGGTTACAGTGTGTAGCCATGAGCTCTGTCTGACTCAGGCAGAATTTTTCAGTTTCTTGAAAAGTGAATAAAAGAACTTTTAAGGCCCGTGTAGCTGCATTCCAACCCACAGATACATCGCCCAAGATTGCTGAGTTTAGGTGGTTGAATTTCTCTCTTTACATTCTGAAAAACCACCAGTAGTGGTAGACAGCTGAAACATGTGGTTTCCTTTTTCAAACAGAAACTGTTTTCTCCCCAGGACTGATTATAATAGCTTTAATCCAAGATGAGCCAGACTAGGAAACCAGTGTTTTGTATTTATTTCTGAAATGCAAGAGCCTTAAGTCTTACGGTGGCATGTCAGAAAACAAAAATGACTGCTTTTCAACTCAGCAAACTTTAGGCCTAAGTTCGAATGTTTTTCATAATGCTTGGAAATTTGCCATGCACACGAAAAACGTGTGAAAATTTTGAGTAATGATGAGTGAACAGTATCTTTTAAGAGTTTTTAACATGTTATTTTTTGTTTGTTTTTACCAAAATACTAATTGAAACACATTATTTGAATTTGAAATCTGCTTTGCCTTGTTATAGAGCATTGAAGAGTGAGGGAAATGTTTAATATTGTTTCTGAAGGAAGCTGGTATATTGAATTCTTAATGCTTCTGAAAATGTCTTGCAAAATATTCAAGTGATTGCATACTTAAGATGTTTTAGCTGTCTGTATTAATCAGAATAGTTTTTATTTTTAACTTAAAGCTGATCTGTGAAAGCTTCCACTTTGCACGTCACCGTGATAATTTGCAGTTGAGTGCAAGAAATCACATACACAAAAACCAGTTACCCTCCATCAGTTCTGACTTATAGCGACCCCACGTGTGTCAGAGTAGGACTCTGCTTCATAGGATTTTCCGTGACTGTCTTTTCGGAAGCAGATCGCCAGACCTTTCTTCCGAGGCACCTCTGAGTGGACTTGAGCCCCCAACCTTTAGGTTAGCAGCTGAGCTCTTAACTGTTTGTGCTACCTGGGGGGGGGGGGTGTGTGTCTCTGACACACACACACACACACACTCTCTCTCTCTCTCTCTGTATCTCCCTCTCTCTCTCTCTCTATCTCTGTATCTCTCTGTATGTACATGTGTGTTGTATGTATGTGTAAGAAGTCCCTGGCTGGTGTAAACAATTATGTGCTCAAGTACTAACCGAATAGTTGATGGTTCGAATCTGCCCAGACGTACCTCGGAAGAAAGGCTTTGTGATCTGCTTCTGGATGGTCACAGCCTTGAAAACCCTATGGAGGGCAGTTCTGCTCCACAACACAGGGGGTCACCATGAGTCGGAATCGACTCCACAGCCACTGTTTTTTGTTTTTTTTTTTTTGTTACGTTTGTTATGTATGTGTATGTAGGCATGTATGCCCATATACGTGTATATATGAATACCTACATAAAATCTCACAGCATATTGGAGCTTTCATTTGTAGCCTTACAATTTTGCAATCATTTCATGGCCTCTAGATCCAAACTTATTTTGGTGACACAAATTTATTTTTTAAAATTTGCAGAAGCTCGCAGGACCCAATATTTCATTTAAACGGTAGTAGTGATATATAACGTCGTTGTGTGATTGCACACTTGTAGCATTCAGATTTAAAGTTCACCACTAGATGATCTTTACCTTTGTTTTTCTGTGATTAGGTTAATTACTGTTACTAAATCCATTTTACTCGTCTGAGAAATAGAGACACTATGAATTAGAACTGGAATCAGATTTCCTGTCTTAGTTTTTACTTTGTTGAATCCACTGACTTTGGAGATTCATGGTTAATAGCCCTCAAAGAATGCACATAACCGCTTTGACCAGGTAATTTAATGATCCTTTTTGAAATCATATGGAAAAGTCAGTATAGGCTAAACTTTTGGTTTGCTCTTAAAATATTGGTGAAGTTTGCTTGTTTTTGTGAGTTTGGCTGAAATACAGAACGTTAAGACAATGCTATAGATTAAAAATATATAGAGCTTTTGCTTTAAAAACGAGATAAGTGATTTGTAATCAGCATTTGTCACTTTTAATGAGGCTGTCGGAAGCTGTCCTGGGCCCAGTTGGCATTGCAGTTAACGATGTTTTTATGTGCATAATAGTACAGAACAAAAATATTTATCCTTCCTAATGTTATGTTAGCAAAAGTCAGCTGGTCGGTCAAACTTTTTTGATGTTTAATTATTTGGCATAAAATCTTTATATAAAATGCCATGAATGTAAAATAGACCTGTTTGTGTAGTGAGTAAACTTAGCTTTGACAATCCAGTTCCGAGAGGTGATTCTTTACCTTCTCTAAGCCATGAGGGTACATTTATTATGCTGAAAGCGTCTGGACAGTTTATTAAACGGTGCTGAGATCTCCTAGTCAAGTTGTCCTCTGTGGACAACTAAGGTAGCATGTTCACAGTGAGTTGGCCTAAGTGAAGGCAGTTATATATCAGTTCTCATTAGTTTAGGGAGTCCACTGTGGAAATGACCAGGGCGCTGGGGGGCCTGTTTGTGAGGCGAGCGCCTGGGGAACAAGGCCGCAGTTCTGCATTCTAGGCTCGGCTCTGCCACTGCCTAGTGGCCGTATAGACTTCGGAGCCCAGTTCTTCATCTAAATTGAAATCCCTGGAAGAGATCGTCTCTTAAATCCCCTTTAGCAATAACTTTGTTTTTCTTCTTTGCTTTTGCTTCCTCTTCATATTATTTTCTTTAATTTTTCCTAAGTCTGAGGTCCCTGGGTGGCACAAACGGTTTATACTCAGCTGACACTGACCTAAAGGTTGGTGGTTTGAACCCACCCAGCAGCACTGAGGAAGAAAGGACTGGCCATCTGCTTCTGCAAAGATTATAGCCAAGAAAACCCTGTGGAGCTCAGTTCTACTCTGTAACATATGGGCTTGCCCTGAGTTGGAATCTACTTAACAGCAACATACTTTTTTTTTGTTTTGGTTTTTCCTGAGTACATGTCTCTGAAGGCAGCAAAAGCATGTATCAGCTATCTGCTTACGTGGGTGGATAGCATTAATCTGGTTTCTGAATTGGCCCCCGTTTTAGTTTCAGCTCTTCTACCCAGATTGTTGTGTTTACTCTTGAATGGGGGCCTCAAGAGTAAAAAGTCTTGTTTAGAGTGCAGAGCAGGTGTTTTCAGCAGGTGTTTGCCTGGCTATGGATTAAAACCAAAAGTGAAACAAATTAATGTGTTCTGGAAGTAGATCTGAAATAATAATGACCTTTGAAATCTGTGCCTTTCAAAGGCTGTCAGTTATTCACAGCCATTCAGACCGGATTCTGTCAACGTTTTCAAAACCATAGGTTGGAGAAGCCTATACTTCACCTGCAGTGGTAATCATAACGTCCTCCACCCGCAGAATCCTTCTCTTTCTCCCTCCCTGGGCATATTTTAGCAGAGCTCTGCAGTTTTTGCTATAGGGACGGTCCTGCTTAGTTAAGGCTCACCAAGACCTGAATTCTCTTTGCCAGAAAACTAGCCCAGAACGAGGGCTCCGCGAGTCCTGAACTAAAGGTTCGCGGAAACACTGCAATCCTGAACGTTGGGTTTCTAGGAGTTCCGTCAAGAGTTGCAGTGGTGGCTTTGACTCAGTCCTTGTTAAGTCCTTCAGCTCTCGGCTCAGTGACCGCCCCCCAGAAAGCCTTCTCCAGCCTGCGTGGGAAACGAGGCTGTCACAGGACAATGGCTTCTGTCTCTCCTTGATGGCGTTTAATGAGTGTATAATGCCCGTTTGGCTATTGTCAGTCACTCTGATCATCTAAATTCCATTCAACGGAGCTGATCAACTTGGCATCCCCAGAGTCTAGTCTAGCAAGCGCCTGATACCTATTTGTTGAACTAATGAATTAAGAATTGGGAAATAACATGGAGTTAACCCATACTGCCAATGGGAGTTTCCTATAGATATTGAAATATTTTTTAGTTTGCTCCTGTAAACTGAAAAGTTGAGGCTGTCTAAAAGAAATCTCACCGTTAACGTTTTGCCGTGGTTATTTGTCTGTTTAGAGCTTGTTTCTGTTGAGCATTCTTACCTTTCCTTTGCCCCTTCTGTGGTAACCCCAGGCCCTTTGTTTATTGTGGCAGGCGGGTCTTATCTCAAACGAACTACCCCTTGCCTGGATCCTTTGTAAAGTTCAGATAGTTCTCAAGCTGCAGCATCGCTTTATCTCACTTCAGCCAGTTTGTAGGTGGGTGGCGCCAACAATTAACACTCTCAGCTGCTAACCAAAAGGTGGGTGATTGAGTCCACCCAGAGGTGCCTCAGAAGGTGAAGACCCTGTGGCCACAGTTCTACTCTGACACATGTGGCGTCACCATGAGTCAGAATCGGCTTGAGACAACTGGTTTTAAATACTCGTTCAAGTCAGTTTCTCCTGTTTTCCAACAAAAATCACTCAGATGTGTGAAAATCTAGGAAAGATGGCATTGTTGAAGCCCACAG